TTTTTTGGGAGGTTGGGTTGTTGGGTAGTTGGGCTTTAGGCTTGGGTTTTGGGTTTGATTTTGGGTTTTGGGTTTTGGGTTTTGGTGAGCTTTGGGTTTTTGGGTTTGAGGCTTTAAACTTTGCATTTCACCCCTCCAACTTTTCATATCTTCAATTAAGTCCCTCATTTTAAACTCCTTCATCTCCCTTTTCCAATCCTCTTTTGTTCGTAAGCCTAACAAGGAAAATAAAGACAAAGCATATTAGTTAAAATAAAAATAACACTAAAAATAACACTAAAATTAAAATTCTATTAAAAATTTGAGTTATGACAATAGCTTCCATATAGCCAAAGGGACAATAGTGGCCAGTTTTGCTCATGACTAGAGCGTGAACTATGTGGAATCGAAAGAGCACTCTCACTCATTTGTTAAGCCACAAAGGCATAAATCTCGTTAAACCAGACTCCGCCATAGTGATGGATATGTATAGAGAAATGTGGAGTTGTCTCCATGGAAGGGGGATGCCAACCACATCCATGGCCTTTGATACGACAAGGTGTGATACCATTGACAAACGTTGGCCCTTCTTGTCGTACCCGCACCATCAAAGGGTGGTCCAATTGTTGTTGCCCACCAGGCACCTCACCACCATGCATGGGCGACCACCAAGGGACCACCGACTGTTACTTGATGGATTTTTATCACTGGAGGGTAGCCATCCCATCCGATCATAGGGTTGCAACTGTTACCGACCTCACACTAATCATACTGAGTTACGTTGACTCTTTGTCCATCTCCGGGAACTAGTGAGATAAAGTATGCAAAAATTCGACTCTTTGTCCATTGCTGGGAGCTGGTGTAATAAGATATGTGGAAATGCGTAGCCTGTTGCCCATTGTTGGAGGCTAAATAAGATAATAAATCTATCTCGTTGTCCATCACTAAAAGCTATGTAGGTGTAATAAGATCACCCTATTGTTCATTGATGGGAACCAGTGATGAAGATATATAGAGATAGATGCTCAACTCGTTGCCCATCGCGAGAGCTATGTAGATCAGATTGTTGTCTTTTGACGGGAGTCATGTAGTAAACTAAGCTCTTTATCCATTGTTGGGAGCCACAGGATACAGCAGTAAATATCGTTGCAGAGTACATGACCATCAAGAAATACCTAGCCATGTCGCCTAATTAGATCTAGCTATGTCTGGCCATGTATATGAAAATAGATGCTGGAATGTGTTACATTTTGCGATGTCTTCAACGAAGTGCATGAGTGTCGTTTTTGGCGATGCTAATTTCACTGTGGCAATTAGTAGAAAACAGGAACTGCACATCCGATGTGGGAAATGAGCGTTGTGGGCCCTTGCTAATGTAGATCCACACATGTCATTGGTTTTACAACCACACAAATTCATCCCTCAACACTTTATAATATATAAAACATTGTATTAAAAAAATTTAACTTCTAATTGCTGTAAATTGATTGGCAGCATCATTTGAATTTATTATCTGTGGTTGCAATTTTGCTGCCATTACTGTTGCGCACTCATGGAAAGTTACACAAAAAGAAAAATGCACCACAAATTATGACTCTTTTAACTCATTTTCCTCCCAAACTTTTAACTTTCAACCTTGGCTGCTGCAGAAATTTTTGCTTTGAAAGCTACAACCACGAAAATTACGAAAATAATGCAAATGTCTTCCACTCTGGTAATTGATTAATTTTTTGGACTGCATCCTATCCTACTTTTATTAGAGTTTTATAAACTCATTTAGAACTGAAATAACTTTAACTAAAATCTATTACTAAATTAACAGCTCTTTAGATTAAAATCTACGAGCTTTCAAAAGCTTTTCACTTATAATTTCCCAATAATGTAAGATTTGAGGCATTATAAAGACATTCAAAAAGGGACTTGGAATTAAAGTCCAACATCAAGAGAGGGGAGACAACAAGAGAAATCAACATTAGGGCAATATCAAGATTTAGGATTTCAACATTCAAAAATTGAGTTTTGTTTTTTCTTATATTATTATTTTTTATATTATTAAAGATAATTTTGTATTCAAACTCTAAATTTTTTATTTTTAATGATAAACTAATTCACTCAATTAAAACTAAATTAAGATGTATCCAAGTTAAATTGTGTCCATCTTCTTACCTCCAAAAATGTCTGACTTCAATGTTTGTCATAATCTTTAGATACACGTGACAACGATACAATGGGAGCAAAGTGTTGGAATGGCGTGGAGCATGAGCGGCACTAGCTCCTACCATTGGGTAGGAGCTACTTTGGGTGCAGTTATGGCTATTAATTTATTTGTTCAAGTTATAAAAGTTGCATTTAATTTGATTAATAATTGTAGGTATTTTTTAAATAAATAGTTAAAATGTTTGACAATATTAGTTTATAAATTAATTTTAATTTATTAAGAAATAAATATTGATTATTCTATCCATTATTAGTTGTTCTTTACTATCAAATCAAATAGAATTAAATTTTTTTAACACAATTTTAATGGCCTTCACAAATAAATTGGTATCCAGAACCATACCCTTATTTTGTTTCACTCATTGTCATGTTCTATTTTTGCATTTTTAAAACATTGATAAAGAACTAAACAAGACCTTAAATGTATAAAATAATTTGTTTGAAAGAGTATTCTTTGTGTAGTGGAAAGATATAGATTAATCACAATGAAATTGAAGCTTTCTTCTTTTGAGCATAGAATATTTTACATAACTTTGAAACACATACGTGAATATCTCTAGTTGTATATATATGATCTGCTTTATTTATTGCTTTTATTTGCAAAGATTGTACGTATGAGAAGCATGCACCAATCCCTAAATATAAACCATGGGATCAGATCATTGTATAAGCATATTAACAACCAAAATCTCATAATAGGGTCGAAGTGTGAGAGTGTGATTATTATATCAATATGAAAGTCAATCAACAATCATTATTAACAAGTTGAGATTAAACTTTTAAGGTACATTACTTTTTAATATCTATTTTTAAAAATTTTATTAGGTATTTATTACAAATTTTTTAAAAACTAATGCGTATTTATTAAGAAATTTTTTAAAGCTTTTAAGAAAAATGTTATTGTTGTAGTAGTTTTATATATGGTTAGACACTCAATATGCATATTTTTTTAAAAAAAATCTAATGAATATTTATTGAAAGTTTTTTTAATTTTTTTAAAAAAATTTATTATAATATGCAATTTTATATATGGTAAAGATATAAACTTGAATTTTTATCACCAAGGCACTGATCACATGGTTTTTTTTTTTTTTTTTTTTTTTTTTTTTAAACAATTATTACTAAAAAGGTGAGAAAAAAGGAAACTGAAAATTGAAACTTAAACCTCCCAATTATATTCCTACGTAGGGACAGAGTGGAAACCACTCCATCCACAACGTGAAATCGATCACATGGTTAACATCAAAGGTAAGCAGAATGACAAAAAAGTCAACCAAATGTTGGTAGCACGTCTTAGTCCTTATGACAAGAAATGAAGACCGTTGACTTGTTTGACTTACCTGGTCTCCATTTAAAACTGAAGACACAATTTCCTTTTCCAATTAACTTTGCAAATTTTGTTAAAAAGCAAACTGGAAATGGTCATAAAGAAAATAATGGTAAGTCTATTACTGTCTGAACCCAAGCTTGGAGTTGTATCATTGATCTCCTCATTACGAACTGGCGGAGAGAGCTTTGCAGTCCCACCGCTACTAGTGGGAGTGAGCCTAGCCTATTCCTTGGCCTCCGAGCATTAATTCCAGAATGCCAACCACTAGCATGCACCGCTTTGTAGGTACAGCTCTCCCCAATGCCGAACCTAAACCTTCTAAAATCCCTATACTTCCTCCAAGACTTCTCCTTTTTGTTCCTAAACTTCCAAGCCACATCACACTCATCCGGTTTTGATCCATTAACTGGAGTCCGATAGTCCAGAAACACAATAGACTTGAAATCAAATTGAACTTCTCTACCGTAAGCGGAACACGAGGGTCTGAACAATTCACAACCTTTAAGTCCTCACAATCTGATGTTAGATTCATCTTGGTGATTTTCTCTTCAGACTTTTCAAATAACCGTTTCAGTGATGGGATTGACAGCGGCAGCTGGCGACACCGCAGGGGCAACTGCAGCAATCAAATCCTCACCAGTTTTAAGGATGGAATTATCATTCTTGAAGGTGACATTCTCAGACCGAGTGAAGAGCTTAGTTAAGGCTGGAGCTGACTCCAGCCATGGATCTGGTGGCTGGTAGGTAATGGCAATAACTGAGAAGACAAACACTGAGAAACATAGATTGCTTATCACTTTGATGAGGTTCTGGCCTAAGGGTTCGGTGGTCAAGTCAAAATCCTTCATGGGTTTTCTTTATCTTCAAAACCCAATCGACAAAACTTCCAACTGCGCAATCCAACAATAATCAAATTCCCACATGAATTTCTGAAATCCAGACCACTAAAAGTAATCAGAAAGTCGAAATAAAGCAAGAAATCAAAATGGGTAATGGTAAAACAGAACTTCGAGAAGAACAGAAGTTAAGGATAGGATTTATGCTTACATATGACTCTTGAATGGAGTCCACTTTCCACGAAAACCCAAGTTCCAGAATCAATCAGATCTTGAAAATTCTTAGTGGCAGAGGGAATGAGGACAAGGAATGGACTTTGCAATTGGAGTGGAGAGAGAAAGAGAGAGGGTGAAGAATGAAGCTGTCAAGATCTGATAGATTTGATTTTATTGCAAAAAATTATGAGGTTTGGTGTTTGTTTCTTAGTTGAATGCTTTTGTTAGAAGGTAAAAAATGTCGGATTCTTTTGTTACTAAGTTGCTCACACTCCACGGTTCAGTAATTGCATAATCAATTTTTTTACGAGTTAATGCCATCTATCGTCCCTCTACTATCAAAAATAGTGCAATTCAAACCTTTTACTATTGATTTGCCTCATGTCCTCCATCTACTATTAATTAACTTCACTTGTCCTCCTTCTACAATTCAAAAACATAACAATGTCGTCCCTCCATCCAATTTAACCTAACAGCACTGTTTATTGACCGTTTAAGTGCAAACGGTCAAATGTTAGGCCTTTTTTAATCCTTTCTTTTGCCGCATCATGTTGGTCCTTTTTGCCATCAAATAAATTTTGCCATTGACTTCATCCACAGAGCTATACTTTTGAAGCTGTGGCCTCAGATTGCTGTTTTTCAAATCTGAGCTCTGGATCAGGAGGGTCCATGGAATCTATTGAGACTGTGGATGATGATGAGGTATTCGAAGGTTTGAACTTTGACATGTTTCTTGATGAGATGGGAATATTAGGACAAGTGGTTTTTGTGAATCGGACCCTGTGGAGTATAGTTGATGTTGGTGGGATATGAAGTGAAGGGACATGAGCAGCAGCTGTAAGAGCTCCCATTTTTGGTTCTCTCTCTAAGCGGTATAACTGCTTAAAGTCTTAAACACCGAACAGAGAAGTCGGCCGTCACTCTGCCATAGGACTGGCAATTTTTTATTCGACCCGCTATCTTATCCATCACTTGCTCATTTAAAATGAGTTAGGTAAGATATTTATGATAAATGAGTTGTCAATGGCCTATTAAGAGAATTTGACGGGTTATGGATCAATAATGGATCCGTTTATTAGGTTAACAGGCTTCATCTGTTTGTTGGTCTAAAAATTTTAAATTTTTAAATTTATTATTTATTTATTTTATTTTTCAATTTTTAATCTCACTTGAAACTCTAATAATTGATTAATACTCCTTAATTGATTAATTAATTCTCTTAACTCATTAAGTTCTAAAAGCAAAAATAATTCTACTTCGATCATGACTTACCTCTCGACCTTTCCTATCATTACTTATTTTAATACTCTCTAAAACTTTAACTCATTAAAATTCAATCTCTTCTCATATTTCGTCAACTTTTATAATCTATAAAGCCTTCAACTTTCAAACTTCAGCTCCATCTTTTCTCTTTAATCTTTAACATCATCTTAGACTTAAATCTCAATCTCATCGAATCATCATTGCATTGACTCAACCTTTTCTTTCTTTCTCTTTGGAGTTCGATAAGTGCTTTCTTATCACCAACTTTTCTCTTTAAAGCCTTTAAAGTTGTTTACACTTTTTAGTTTTCTTTTCATCTAAGTAAAAATTCTATTTGATCTTCTCCTTTGCTTACTCAAAATGTATTCAATTGATTGATTCTTTGAAAGCAATGACTAGAACAAATATGTTCCAATGAGGTTTGCATTTTTTGGTTGTCATCTATTATTGCTTTTCTTTTTTTTTTTTTTACTATTGAGATTTATAAGTGTGTGGTGTTTTTGAATTTGATAAGTGTGTAGTGTTCTTGAATTTGATGAGTGATGTTTTTTGAAGGGAAGTAGAGAATGTGAGTCTAATGAACTGTAAATATGATTCATTAAATTAATGGGAAAAAAATCTTTTTATAAGATGTTAAATTTCATTTTAAAATCTTTTGAAGAATTTTTTTTGGATGATAATAAGTAAAAATTATTGAAAAAAAAAAA